TTACATACAGCAATATCACACCATACTTAAAGAGGCCTGCAAGTAATCAGGAATTGGCCGGGAAAACAAGTGATTGACAACATGAACAAGAATTACTGCTATGAATACACAATGCCATTTAGAAAGTGGTCAAATGGACATATGCTATATTTGGGATTACACTTTCTTCGTAAAGTACAAATTTTAGTGGGGAAGTCGAGGTGGCTGAGCGGGTTATGCGGCTGACTTAGTGTGCGCGCAATTTGGTGCCTGACTGAGGGTGTGGGTTCGAATCCCACATGGGACTCAACCCCAAAAAGTACTAACATTTGTACTTTACGAAGAAAGTGTAATCCCCAATATAACATATGCTGCATGAATTACTGCTATAAGTGTACACAGATGTAAGCCAGATCACACACTGATTGACAACAGATTTTCATATGTCAGCTCTTATGACAAGCAAGGTAATTTGGAGCCCTACATACTCTGCCATGAAATCCCAACTAGGAGTATAGCTTAATGTTGTTCTCTGGTTGCATGTTATAATTTATTGACTCACTCTAGAACCGGAGGGGGCACAGACAGCTGGTCAAAGTGGAGGTGGTTCTTCAACTCCATCAGGTAGTCCACATACATCATCTTCCTGCCAAACTTAGCACTGCAGTAAGAAACACAAGTTCACATGAGACAATGTAAATAACTTGTATGAATCATTTACACACTCGGATAATATTCATTATGATTTCATACGTAATACTTATGATATGATAATATATGTACCTTATGAATGGCTTGAAGATGTTCCATAGGATCTTGATGAAGTTTGTTGGATGCACCAAATATAAAGCCTTTAGATTTTTCTTGTATCTGAAAAACAAATTTGAGTCCAGATACTTCTCACACATAACGTTGCTGTAAACATGAATGAGTTATTGTTGGATAATGCAACATCGATATCACATTAGTGAGCAAATAACTAAAAGTGGCCAGCACAGACAACGATTCACTCTAGAATGGTGTCTTCTCACAAGGGCAAGTTTTTAGTTTTAGGTGCACTTTGATATTTCCTATTACATTTCTTGTGTTCACTAAAGCCAAGGGACTAGGGTTGAAGGGCGGTGTGAAAAAGTGGCCAGCGTTCAGCTGACATGTTTACATGACATACACTCACTGATAAAACACACTCAAATTGAAATTTATTTACCTATCAGTGTAATAAAAACATTAACATCATGTCTAAAACATACTATTTGGATATTGCGTAAATTATATTGATAAAAGTATTTTGCGTAAAATTTAGCACTTCCATTACAAGTAGCATCTCATCATTCTTACAAATCCTATATAGATTGTTTGTATGGCAGGAATAAAAATATACAAGAAAGTATGATTTTTGCAGTCTTTTTTTTATAAGACCCAACCCAAGGGCAAAGTTTTTCTTGCGAAAACACAATAACCTCTCATTGTTCATTAAATTGAACAGGGAAGACATTCACAAGAAGGTGACTGCCGCCAGAGTACGGTGATGTTACATCCGATAAAATGTCACCTTCCTGAGAATGAACCTCCAGAACAGCCCACAAACAGTTGGTCACATAGTGAAACTGTTTAATGCCATTATTCTGCTTTTATGAGAAGCATCGGCTATCAACTAGATCAAGGAAATATTCGGCCTATTTTTTACCACATTTAACTAAATGTACAATGCACGCTTCAGAGAATGCCCAGATCTATACAGGTTCTAACAAGAAGACAAAGTCATCAATATCCCCCGCAATGGCAAAATACTCTTCATGATTATGTCTACTAGTTATGATTATTTCAAATATTTAGGTGTGTATATAGAAAAGTGGAAGGAGAGTATTGAAAGGTTTTTAAAGTTCTGCTCCAGAAAGGAGCACTATCACCAACTTCAGTCTATGTCAAACTTGAAGCCAAAAATATTTTATTCAGAATTCCAAAACTACCAAAAGGCACCAGTAAACCAACAGATCTATCTATGTGCCAAGTTTGGTGAAGAAAAAATGGACGGTTTTAGAGTTCTGCTCCGGAAAAGAGCACTACCACTAATTTCAGTTTTAGTCAAACTTGTTGCCATGGAAACGCCAAAAATATTTTATTCAGAATTCCAAAACAACCAAAAGGCACCAGTACACCACCAGATCTATGTATGTGCCAAGTTTAGTGAAGAAATATGGAACAGTTTTAGAGTTCAGCTCCGGAAAAGAGCACTACCACCAATTTCAGGCTAAGTCAAACTTGCCACGGAAACGCAAACAATATTTTATTCAGAATTCCAAAACTACCAAAAGGCACCAATACACCACCAGATCCATTTATGTGCCAAGTTTGGTGAAGAAATTGTGAATGGTTTTAGAGTTCTGCTCCGGAAAAGACAAATGTGCACGGACGGACGGATGGACGCACGCATGGACAGAGTCCATTTCAATAATCCCTGCAAAACGCGTTGAGGGGGATAAAAATTCACTCTGTTGATATGTTTCTAAGCATCTAGTTAATCCTCTCAATGCTACTGTCTAAGCAGCAGCAGGACTGCAGCATAATGACATCCCCAAATAAAACTTGCAATAATTATTCAACAAGTCGGATTTACGTGTCATTTGAAGTGCTTGGATTAATCTTGAGAGTCATGGATATCTTTGTCATAACCTAGATTTAGGGTTTGATTGATTGCTGTTTAAAGCGACACTCAGCAATATTCCAGCTATATGGCGGCGGTTTGTAAATAACTGAGTCTGGACCAGACAGTCCACTGATCAACAGCATGAACAATGATCTACACAATTGGGATACGATGACATATGTCAACCAAGTCAGTGATTCTGACCACACAATCCTGTTAGTCGCCTCTTACGACAAGCATGGGTTACTGAAGACCAATTCTAACACTAATCTTCATGGGTCCTAGATTTAGGGATTATGTGATTTAGATGCTATAGAGGACCTCATGGACATCAGGAACCCCCTTAACTTAGATGACTCTGCAAAATGTTTAGTTTTGTTTGGACACAAATTTCTTTTTATCATGCAGAAATAACATACACAACCATAATAATCAAAAGATAATTAAAAGAAAAAATCAGAAATTCTTGATATTTTTGTTTTTAAGTGTTTTCCTATAAATCACAGACCCCAAAAGAACCTGATAATGTCATTCCATTTGTTCCTTTACATGCCTGAAACTATCTATAAAACTGGTATGGCCTTAAAGAGGGCATTTTCAGTACACAAGGCATAAGGAAACAAACGCTTCTTTTTGAATTGTCAACCTCTGTTTGACTAAGTTCCTTATGTTGTAATTACCCAGGAAGTGATTCAGTTTTCAATGAATATGAACAGGAAACTATTTTATTGATTGAACCACTTCAAAAATACTACCACTTGAAACCCAGTGAGAACATAATGTACATTCACTGAAAACAATTATGATCTGGGTATCCTTAGTATAAAGGTAAATGGATAGTTTACATATATAATATCAATGTTTGAATATGTGCTGGAAAAACAAGTCATTTTCCTACCAAATTGTTGTGGAGGAAGGTAGAACAAAAATATCAATGAATGAAATGTATAATACAGACCATAATCTACAGCACCTATGTGAGCTTTCAGTTGAATATATCATATTCACAGCCTTTGATACAATGTGCAGAACCCATCTCCGTATGTTCTTTCCTAAATTTGGGGAATAACTCTCAACATGTTGAGTACTACTAATTTACAAAAATGATACCCATAACATTCACATTTCTTTATAGTGTTCAGTACTCAATGCTTACTGATAGTTCACTTTCTAAAGCATATACTGATTATATTCTTTTTAAAGCTGCTTTTTGACTGAATCAAGAACCAACACATCTTCCACATATGTTTGGTGGTGTAAGGATACTCTGGTTCCTTAATGCAGGTGTCACGTATAAGTAAAAGAACAGTGAGATTGTTGGCTGATGCTTAACTTCAAACAGTATAATTCATTTGAAAATGCTTAGCAAAGAGTCATTTTAGAAGATATAACTACGATAATTCACAATAAAACCTGGGAGAAGATACAGCAGGGTACTTCACAATCAAACCTGGATCTTGAGAAGATATAACTACGATAATTCACAATAAAACCTGGGGAGAAGATACAGCAGGGGTACTTCACAATCAAACCTGGATCTTGAGAAGATATAACTACGATAATTCACAATAAAACCTGGGAGAAGATACAGCAGGGGTACTTCACAATCAAACCTGGATCTTGAGAAGATATAACTACGATAATTCACAATAAAACCTGGGAGAAGATACAGCAGGGGTACTTCACAATCAAACCTGGATCTTGAGAAGATATAACTACGATAATTCACAATAAAACCTGGGAGAAGATACAGCAGGGGTACTTCACAATCAAACCTGGATCTTGAGAAGATATAACTACGATAATTCACAATAAAACCTGGGAGAAGATACAGCAGGGGTACTTCACAATCAAACCTGGATCTTGAGAAGATATAACTACGATAATTCACAATAAAACCTGGGAGAAGATACAGCAGGGGTACTTCACAATCAAACCTGGATCTTGAGAAGATATAACTACGATAATTCACAATAAAACCTGGGAGAAGATACAGCAGGGGTACTTCACAATCAAACCTGGATCTTGAGAAGATATAACTACGATAATTCACAATAAAACCTGGGAGAAGATACAGCAGGGGTACTTCACAATCAAACCTGGATCTTGAGAAGATATAACTACGATAATTCACAATAAAACCTGGGAGAAGATACAGCAGGGTACTTCAAAATCAAACCTGGATCTTGAGAAGATATAACTACGATAATTCACAATAAAACCTGGGAGAAGATACAGCAGGGGTACTTCACAATCAAACCTGGATCTTGAGAAGATATAACTACGATAATTCACAATAAAACCTGGGAGAAGATACAGCAGGGGTACTTCACAATCAAACCTGGATCTTGAGAAGATATAACTACGATAATTCACAATAAAACCTGGGAGAGAAGATACAGCAGAAGGGTACTTCACAATCAAACCTGGATCTTGAGAAGATATAACTATGATAATTCACAATCACAAAAACCTGGGAGAAGATACAGCAGGGTACTTCACAATCAAACCTGGATCTTGAGAAGATATAACTACGATAATTCACAATAAAACCTGGGAGAAGATACAGCAGGGTACTTCACAATCAAACCTGGATCTTGAGAAGATATAACTACGATAATTCACAATAAAACCTGGGAGAAGATACAGCAGCAGGGTACTTCACAATCAAACCTGGATCTTGAGAAGATATAACTACGATAATTCACAATAAAACCTGGGAGAAGATACAGCAGGGTACTTCACAATCAAACCTGGATCTTGAGAAGATATAACTACGATAATTCACAATAAAACCTGGGAGAAGATACAGCAGGGTACTTTTCACAATCAAACCTGCACCATGAGAAGATATAACCTACGATAATTCACAATAAAACCTGGGAGAAGATACAGCAGGGTACTTCACAATCAAACCTGGATCTTGAGAAGATATAACTATGATAATTCACAATAAAACCTGGGAGAAGATACAGCAGGGGTACTTCACAATCAAACCTGGATCTTGAGAAGATATAACTACGATAATTCACAATAAAACCTGGGAGAAGATACAGCAGGGTTCAAACTTCACAATCAAACCTGGATCTTGAGAAGATATAACTACGATAATTCACAATAAAACCTGGGAGAAGATACAGCAGGGTACTTCACAATCAAACCTGGATCTTGAGAAGATATAACTCACGATAATTCACAATAAAACCTGGGAGAAGATACAGCAGGGTACTTCACAATCAAACCTGGATCTTGAGAAGATATAACTACTGATAATTCACAATAAAACCTGGGGAGAAGATACAGCAGGGGTACTTCACAATCAAACCTGGATCTTGAGAAGATATAACTACGATAATTCACAATAAAACCTGGGAGAAGATACAGCAGGGTACTTCACAATCAGAAACCTAGATCTTGAGAAGATATAACAAACGATAATTCATCACAATAAAACCTGGGAGAAGATACAGCTCCTGGAGGGGTACTTCACAATCAAACATCAGATCTTGAGAAGATATAACTTGATAACCATTAACCACTGACCAATACTCCAGTTAACGTTTCTTGTTTTTCTCATATTTTTTAACATGTTATCATTAATGGAACCAGTCCTGAGATCTGGATTCAGGAGATCCTGAGAATCTCATACTACAGCTGAAAATATGGAGAACCTAAGGACCCCAAACACTTCAAATACTGAAATCATTCCTTTTTAAAAATACTCACTGTAAGAGTCTCTGGTGATCAAAGGTTTTGTTGGAAGGTAGTTTACATGAAGAAAACACAATGACCTTTCTTCCCCACAAATCGTCCCCCTGAAACAAATATTTACATCATTACAAGTGATTCACTTCAGACCATCAAACATGCAAAAGACACAGAATCAACTGAATTTAATACATTGCAAGGTGTTGTTCTTGCTTCCAGTGTTTAAAGATCACTCAGTAATTTTGGTTGTTCTGTACGACTCATGTGGGAGTAGGGTACCAGGGGCGGATACAGCTTTTTGAGAAACGGGGGATGCATTTTCACCCGAGTTTCAATGGTCATTTAACAAACATTCAGCGCAAAAGGGGGGGTGGGGGTGGATGGTTTGCACCCCTGCACCCCCGCCCTGGATCCGCCTATGGGTACACTCACCTATTTGGATTATTCAAGATTTATAAGATTGCAACTTATTCTAGTTATATACAGCTAAACGTTAATTAAGCACCACCAAATTCAAAAGTAAATATTATCAATTAGTGTCAAGTAAGGATAATGAAATTTCACAGTATGCTATATGCCTGTATTGCCCGTGCATCACACGTATTGCAGACATAAACTGCGCAATACAGAAGATGCACGTGTTCGATACATATGCACGGGGTCTTTCAACTGAAAACACAGTATTGTTGTTTGATACTTGGTGGCTGAAATGAGAACGTTGAAGCAACAGATCTTATTGTACTGTTCCAATACAACATGCCGAGACGTAGGCTATCCGAGAAACTACGATGGAGAATCATTGGCATGCATGAAACCGGTTTATCATGCCGTCAAACTGGTATCAATTTGAATCTCAATCACACCATTGTTAGCCGACTGGTACGAAAGCACGTGCAAACTGGAAACGTCAACGACCGACCCAGACCTGGACGTCCAAGAAAAACTAGTGTTCGTGCTTAGCCAGACGCAATCCAATGACCCATGCTGAAGACCTCCGTAGACAATGGCGAGTGGGCGCCAGACTGTCCACAAATACCGTCCGGAAGAGGTTAAGAGCTGCAGGATTGCGTGCACGTAGACCAGTCAGACGTCCATTTCTCACTGACAGACACATGCAAGAACGCCTGGCGTGGTGCAGGTTAAGGTAAAACCCCAATCTCCGATACTTTGCGCAGAGTCCACTGGTCGGACGAAAGTCGTTACCTTTTTGCACGTCACTGACGGCGCAGCCCGTCAAGTGGCGCCGCCGCAATGAAGCTTATAACCGGAAATGATTGAACCAGCGGTCCCCTTTGGCGGTGGCTCAGTGATGGAGTGGGGTTGTGTGTCGCCGACTGCAAGCTGGACCCAATCACAGTACCGGGAAGCGTTAAGCGGACACGCGTTATCAACGTGACATCTTGGATGTTGCCGTAATACCCCATTTTGACAATCACACACTTGCCAGTCGTCCCCTGTTCATGGATGATAACGCCAGGCCTCATCGTGCCAGAGCAGTAGTCGATCATTTGAGGAACAATGCTATTGACACTATTCCATGGCCAGCCAAAAGCCGGATCTTAATCCCATAGAGCATTTATGGGATTATCTTGGCGCCAAGTGAGAGCCAGAGATCCTCCTGTGCAGAATATGGATGAACTGCAACAGGCTCTTCACGAGGAGTGGCAGAGAATCGATGCTTAGAATCAGACGTTTCATTTCAAGCATGAGAAGCGTCTTGAAAATGTGATTCGTGTAGAGGTGGATATTCTCGATACAGACTAAAGAGTTTCTAGAGATAGCCATGATCACAACAAGCATATTTAAGTTGAACGTTTGACATTGCAGATACCAGTATGGACTGGACAGTGATACTTTTCAGGCCTAATAAAATGGTCGTTTTGACGCTTATTCGCATAACTCCAATAAATTGTTATCAAAGATAATCATCGGCTTCGTTTTCTGTGTAGTGATGCACTAGGACATCCCTTCAGCAAAATCAATCTTCTTTACATTGAGTCAGACAGGAAATTGCACTTTTCATGATTTGAATGTTGAACTTTTCTGAAAAAGTGGGTGGTGCTTAATTAACGTTTAGATGTATATTTGAGAGGTCAATGGCCAACCTGCTACTTCGATGATCCCATACTTCTCCACATCACTGAACTCGCTCTGGGCCTCCTCCTCCTGAAACAACAAGGAACAATCCACTCTGAATGTTCATCAAGGTGCCATGTTATCTGAATCTTGTTGACTTGTGCCTACAGTGCCTACTATAGAAGCAAGAAAGGAGCATGAGTGAGTGAGTGAGTATGGTTTTATGCCGCTTTTAGCAATATTCCAGCAATATCACGGAGGGGGATACCAGAAAATGGGCTTCACACATTGAACCCATGTGGGGAATCGAACCCGGTCTTCAGCGTGACGAGCCAACGCTTTAACCATTTGGTTACCCCACTGCCCCAAAGGAGCATGACATTTCTATAGTGTTTCGGGGTGGATATTACATACAAGATACATATTTCCTTTTTGAAACCAAACTTACAGTAATTTATGAGTTGAAAAATGTTCCCTTGTCTGAACTACGAATGCTCTACTGTTAGGAAGGATAACAATATATGGATGAACAACTTCTTTATTGCTGTGAGAGCGACGTTTCGGTGTGTCACTTGCTTGATAACAGTGTTAGAACCTACACGAAGCGTCGCTCTCACAGCAATAAAGAAGTTGTGCATCCATATATTGTTATCCTTCCTTACTGCTCCAACTTCTAAATGCCTCTCAAAGAAGTTATGCTCTACTGTTATAATCATGTACAAGAGAACATCTTTCTTCATCTTAACATTATGACTAATAATACATTAATATCAACAAAGTTTTGTGACAATATTTTCAGGACTGAAGAAACATATTAACAAAACACCTATTTGAAACAATGTTGAACCTACAAAGAAGCAAATGAAGTTATAGTGAGGGAGTGGCTATAGTTTTACACTGCTTTTAGCAATATTCTAGCAATATCATGGAGGGGACACCAGAAATGGGCTTCACACATTGTATCCATGTGGGGAATCGAAATGGTCTGTATTTTAACAAATCTGGACCACAAAATGAATTTTCCTTTGGGAAAATTATGCAACGCATTTGTTCAAGATTAAGACAAAGAAAAGCAACTACTGTTTGACAGAGACTACCTTGGTCAGTGAAGTGATACACCATATACACATGCCCAATAGTACCCACCTGGGGTGTACCCAGCACCTTCTCGAAATCCTCCTCAATGATGCCATCAGGTGTGATCGCCCCGCTCCTGAATGCTCCACCTTCTGCCTCCTTTGCCAATTCTGAAACACAAAGACAAAGTAATGAACTCACAGAAAACCTGATCTGGTAGGAACCCACCTTACACTTGTCCTCAGCAGCATGTTTCAAACAGGGAAACAATGTCTTCTATTAATGGTGCTGGTAGCTCCCTCTCCATATTATCAATGTGAAATTTGCTTTAGGTATAAGTCTTTGAGACCATTGGTAACTGTTAACCCTTGATACAATATATTAACAATTCAACACAAAAATCGTCAAAATATGTAACATTACTATAATCAAAGACGTAAATTTACGTCTTTGCTACAATGTACAAAAATGAAATAACAAGGAGAAAATTAAAGGTCTATGGAACTAAATGATGATAGGTGGAATAGCACATAACAATGAATATGATTTCAAATATAATGTGTCAAGCTCGCACAATATGCTACAAGCAAAATTAAATATGTGAAATGATTTCTAGTTTTCCAACACCATTACCATGATTACTCGTCCATTTGGCATGCGCTATAATCTGACCCATCATAAACCCTGTGCATGTGCAGGGCCTGTGTGTTCTCTGGCTGGCAAATCAATTGTAACATATCTGCTGAAATTGAAGCCACATATTCCTTGTTTCCTCTTGAAATAAGCAGATCTAATAAAAATTTCCTCAGCCTTAGTCCAAAGCAAAAATCCTTGTTTCACAGGATGGTTTGGTCATAATAGTTTTCTGTGTGTTGGACTGTAGTGTTGCAATTAAAATGAAGAGACTGGGTTTTCCATGAAACAGGAATTCCACTGTCTGGCACAGCACTAATGGCTGATAATATTTGTAGACTGAAACCAGAGACATCGCTCTAGGGACTGAATACATGATGTGGCCTGTGCAGTCTGCATGACCCTGATCTTTGTCCTAATTAAACAATAAACACACATCATAGCTTTTGCTGAAACTTTTTGAATTAAAAATTCAGAATTACTGATTGCAAATTACCAATTGAGAAGACTCTGGGGTTGTGATGTTTGGTGAAACTGACCAAGCTGACCTAACATTGACGTTGTCCTAATCCAATCAAATGTTCACCACACTCATAGTGTTCATATCACATGTACATTATACATTAACAATCCCGCCTTTTAGTCTCCAACACTGCTCCAGCTGAGCTGCATATTTGCACAACATAGCCAACATTCATCTCCATTACCCAATTAATGTTGAGTTATTGGTGTACAGATATGAAAGAAAAATTAAAACCAGACATGGCGTAACACTGCATAATTTCCCAACAAACCCGTTTCATGCCAGTATTTCTTTACACACCGATTTAATTCAGGTGTCACACTTACATGAACAATACGGACATGAATAATGCATAACACAGGCACTATATCTTGTTTCTTGTTCAGTAAGACACATATACTGTGCCTGGGATTTATGTAACATTGTACATGCCAGCACAGACATAGATACACCAATAACATAAAAATGTCCAGTAAAGTTTAAAAACACACGATAGACTGGACACGAATAACCAAAGAAAACTTTTAATACTCAATGTTTGTTTGTTTCACTCAACACAACACTCAGCAATAATTCAGCAATTTGGTAGTGGTCTGTAAATAGTTGGGACTGGACTGGCAAGAGTCTCAATGTACGCAGTTGAGATACAATGACATGTGTCAACCAAGTCAGCGAGTCTAACCATTCAATCCTGTTAGTCGCCTCTTATGACAAACGTGGGTTACTGAAGACCAGTTCTAACCCACATCTTCTCGGGTATAAAACTCAATGTGAATGATAACTTGCTATTTATACTGTGAGTATTATCAGGAACCATCAATCTCCAAGTATATTCACCAGCATTTCTCTAGCATACTTGACCTGCATCCATCATCCAGAGAACCAAGTGTCATGCAGCAGGTGTTACTAGCCACAAAGTGTCTAATCCATAAAGAGTCAATGTCATGAGCTTTCTTCAGATCAGTGACCATCAATGCTTGCCAGTCTCAACAGTGGACAGATGTGGAGACATCAGATTTATTACTCAGTCAGTAAGTTTAGGGCCATTGGCATTGTGTGTGCTTGTCACTCAGAAGGCCTTGGTTTCAGTGCTCAGACATCTGATTTTCCCTTCTGAGATACAGATGAACTTTTCTCGAAGCAGGCATTAAGTAATATTCCCTTACCAATAATGGTGTTTGTACACTCAGCAATATTCCTGTTACACGATGATCAACAACAAGGCAGGGTATTTTGTGTGCAGTCTCTAATGTACAGCATAGCAGATGGGCCATTCAGTCAATAACATACAAGGCTCTGCCTTAAGACAGAAATAGTGATAACAGTCAAACACTTAGTGAGAGAGGAACAAACCTTGTCAATGCATAATACTTGAATACTAATTATAAAATAGAATAATTGAATACCACAACAAATAAACATCTATGTTCCAGATCAGATGAGGAGAAGCAGCAAAGATTCAAAATTACTAATGAAACTCAAAGCCGCCATGTTACCAAAAAATAACACAACCATAGATTCTGAAACATTGTGTAAAAACATCTTGGGAACCCTATTTAACACTTCTTATGTTAGATAATTTACATCACATAAAATAAAAAAAAATACACACTAGCAAACAACCTTTTTGGAACTAAGCATTAATATAACTAAATACCAAAAGATTAACTTGGGCTACAGCATGAAACACTACTTTAATCAAATAGGACTTAATAGCTGACAGGTTACCATAACAACAACTGGATTGAGCTGAGTCATTCTGGGTATGTATACACGGGATCTTTTGTCCTTACTGTTTATTTTCCTGGTCATGTTTTGCATTAGCAAATAACATCTGAGGGAAATCAGGTATTCACAAGTTAGGGTTCACTTCTGAAATTATGTGTGGTTTAAAAACCAAAACGCACTTCATGAATGAGGTGATAATACCATAATGACCCCAGGATCAAATGTACCATCTGATTTTTTACTATGAGTCTTAAAACTGAACCCACAATTCCATATATACCTTGCAAACCTCAGTTCTGCCACTATGATTATAACATCATTGATGATTGAATGGCTCTCCTTTAATTCTGATTAACTGATTGTTTGTAAGTGTCCATCTTTACACTATCATGGAGAAACGTGCCATTCAAAATTCAATTTATAATACAAAACGTTCAGCATGTAGAGATAATAAGTGTTCAGTTAGGACCTGTTCATCCAAATTTCTTTCAATAACACATCTGAATCTGACACACATACAAAAGAAGAATCGAAAGATTATAACCTAATCCTGAGATTCGGAATAGATCCTGAGATATGAAATTAAAAGGTTGGCAGTAAATCAAACATGGAAACATGTAGTGACACAATGTATATTGTGACTGTAGTAATAAATCTGACTCCTCCAGCATCCCTCCAATCTGCAGATGTATGTAATGGTTTTGCAGTCTTCTATTTTTCTACTTACACACAACCGATATTTTGTCAAAATGCAGTAACATGGTTGACTCTCATTTTCAGATATTCCTTACTAAAAACACAATGCAATAAAAAAGCATATGCATGGTAATACAAATAGATGCTCCTCTACATGTAGATTGCACAAGTCTTTAAGGTAATAATTAATAGTTTAAATGATAATTGAAACAAAAATATAAATAAAATTAACACATTGTCCTGCCGTCTGTATATCTAAACTTGCCTCTTTGAAGGATGGAATGACTATACATCCATGGGCTTAATATTCACTACAGCCTTGGAGAAAGGCTACTCTGCATGTGACATGTTTGTAACTTTCAGAGCTGCAAATGTATACAAAGGTTAGCATTGTAACATTGTTTTTGCTGGAAAACCAAGCAGTGATCAATGTCCTGACCTACTAACCTTATATTGTCATCTGCTAACATGTGTTTCCTCAATTAACTACATGCTGAAAGGTCAAATAGTTTCCATGCCAAACACAGCATGTCAGAGCAAATAGACAAATTGTCACGGTCTGTCAAACACAACACACTGAGGTCATCACTGTCATGATTATCATGAATCTAAACTCCTTACAATTTCTAATATTACCACAATCTATCATGTTTCACTCCAACAAAATTACAGAAAGTCCAGTTAGTCTGATAGATGAATCGACATTAAATGACAGGAAAAGCTACATCTAGAGGTTAGCACACAGACCTAATACTGTTACAAAACCATATATGTTCAAAAGTCAGAATTAGAAATTAAAGTTCTAGAGTCTGGGTCTAACATAGATATTTGAAGTTAGAGAATGTGTTATCTCTTACCTTTAAAAAAGTCATTTATGACAAGGACCCTTTCACTTCCCAGTTTAATTTGAAGTGCACTGATGCTTAGGAATATATAAACATCTTGTCGGAAAATTATTTGAGTTTCTGTCCCACTCATACCCCTACAACATAATAAATTACTACAAGAACTAACTACTCATCTGATCACTACTGTCAGTTGTACAGCTGTGAGTTATGTCTTCCCACAAAAAAATGTATTTTTTCTATCAACAGTAAATGTTGATAAACAGCTTGATATAATTTTAATACATAAATCATTAAACATGGCCAGTCAACAATGAAGCATGGACCCTATCGAGAATACAGATCATTACACTTGAAGTTACAGTCACATCAGACTGTAGATCACATCTGACTGTAAATCGTTCACAACAGTTGTTAAAACGTGTGAGACTTCCTGAAGACCTAAAAGCCTGGTTTTCTGTCACTTTCTTACAATGAAATGCTACATTTCTGAATAAACTTGCAATAATTTTCAAAACCATTTGACATTTTGTACAAGACTGATTTTCAAAAACAAACTAAAAATAGGAAACTATGTAACTTAAGTTCTTTTGAAAAACAATTCTGTAACGTTCTAAAGAAAGTAATAAAAAGTTATAATCGAAGAAGACAGCCCGCAAACATTTGAAAATAATTCAAAAGGTCTGACCTCATTTGCTAATGTTAAAAACTATACAATTTAGTAGTGTCATCAGAGTTACAAGAC